TGCCATCTGGTGATGTGAGTGAGGCACCCCTCTCTGGCGGGTCCCTCCCTGTGGTATTCGTGGCCTTCCCGTAGCCTTCATGGCCTCCTCGTCTTTCTTCTGCCACCCAAACATGGACACTCCCAAGCAGAGTTCTAGCTACAGCCTGTGTTTCCTGCAGAAGTCTCCTCTCCTCAGTGCCCACCAAGGGCTAGCCCCGTGCCAAGGGCTTTCCACGCTGTGTCTGACTCCTAGATCTGCCGTCCCAAATTATCATCGACTGGGCAGCTTGACACACAGCAGAAATGTATTCTGTCTCAGTTCTGGAGGCCAAAGGTCCAAAATCAAGGTGTGGACAAGGTCAGTTCCTTCTGGAGACTCCTGGGGGTCGGGAGGGGAGGTCATCTGTTACATGCCTCTCTCCTAGCGTCAGTGGTGACACAACCCTCGGTGTGCCTGGCTCATAGCCATGTCACTCCGGCCTCTGCCTCCATCAATCACGATGCTCTCCCTGTGAGTCTGAGTCCAGATTTCTTTCTTCTTACATGAACTCCAGTCACTGGATTGGTTGGGGCCTGTCCTAATCCAGCCTGATCTTATTTTAACCTTATTACAGCTGCAAAAACCCTTTGTCCAAAGAAGGTCACCTCAGTTCTTCTCACCTCCGCCAGCTTCTGGATGGACACGACGTTTTGCAGGACAGTGTTTCACCTGCGGCACGTGCCTCCTCTCACTGAATCCTCACAACAACCTTGGTAACCCCACTTTATGGAGGAAACAGCCGATGACTTCCAGATCTCCAGCTTCGTTAGGTCCAACTTTTTTTTTAAGACTTTATTTTTAAGTAATCTCTACACCCCACGGGGGGCTGGAACTTACAACCCAGAGATCAAGGCTGCACACCCCATCGACCGAGCCAGCCATGCGCCCCTGTTATGTCCTACTCTTTGTGACATCTTCACTGAGCTGTTGCTCTGGTATTTCACAAAGTCGGCGTTCCACAATCAAACTCATCCCTACCCCCCTCACCCCCCACACATGAAGGCCTATAATATAACAGCTCTGGAACGTCTGTTAGGACAGTAATAAAAGGGCCCTTTGGATGGGGCTATCTGAAGCTGCTTTTGCATTGCACTTTGGGTAAGATTGAAAAAGAACATTAACTGTCCTAAAAAAACAAACAAACAAACAAAAAAAAAAACATTAACTGTCCTTATCGAAAAATGATGAGTACCGCCACGGACTTGACAGAAGACCGTGGCAGGAGAAATGACAGATTTCAGAAAATATGAAGGAGGCTGATTGAATGGGTCTGCTGACTGCTAGATGTGAAGATAGATGGCAGAGAGGCACCAAAGATGTCTGACTTGACCACGGGGTGGACAAGTTTGGGAGGGCAATGATGAGTTTGCTTTTTTTCTGGCAAAGTCTTCCATGAAACCTAATGTAAGAATGGAGCTGCTTTGGTTGAAAGGGGGCAGGGCTCCTGTCATCTCCTCCCCTCCCAGGAAAGTACCTACAGCTCCTTGGGGAGAACATTAGGAAAGTTCCTGACTGCATGTATTCTTCTAAGAACTAAACAAGAAACTACTTACACCATTCCAGAAACACGGACATCGATCCTATTTCAAAAGTGTTTCCAAGAAAGATCCTCATGGCCTCTCTCCACCCTCACTTCCTGGTGGGCAATATCCTTCTATGCGGGGTTTTCTTCTTTATCTAGAATCTAAACACAACCTTGTACTGCCTAACCTCTTGTGCCTTTGGTTGGTTGTCATGGGGCCTTGGATGTCCTGTCAGGAGACCCTCCATCTTCTGGTAAAAGCAAGTGGTCTGGTTTCCTTCAGAGAGAAGGTTGCGCTTTAACTCTTGGAACTGTGCCTGCCCTGCGATCATTCTACAACTTTTATCAGTGCAGACGTGACTCCTTTTCCAGCATCCCAAGAGGTGGTTCATTCAGAGGGAAAAAGAAAGAAAAACATAGGCTATGAGGAAGCTAGAGACAGCCCCAGCCACAGGGCAGGAGCCATCCCAAGCCTATGTAGGAGCAGAGCCAGAGCTGGGCTCTTGGGTGTCCTCTAGCTCTGTGTTTACCCAGATTCAAGAATGAGGCTCTTCAAGTTTAATTAAAAACAGGATGTCCCTGCTGGGGCTCTCATTGACATTGCTAAAAATAAGTAGGGAAGTAGCCTGGCCTCTTCATGGTTTAATCCCATTAAATTTGGGGAAGGGGGGGAACTGGGGCTAATAAAAGACATGATTTGTTTCAGATGGCTGCCTGGCCTTGTGTCTTCTCTCTCCCCATGCTGGGGAGCCCTAGATTCTGAAGTTCTAGTGCATTCGGCTCTGGGTTGTTGATGCCGTGGGAAGGGGACAAAGGGACAATTTCCCAAATGTGGTTTTTTCCAGGTTGCCATCTACTTACTCATCTTGGGACCATTGGGATTTGTCACCTCAGCTCTTCACTCACTGCTCTGGTGCCACACACATCATAGACCTGGTTTTGTGAATAATTCACTAATCCCTGTCTGTAAGTTGATGCGCATTAAACAGAAAAAGTCTAATCTAGAGTTGTGAAAGAGCTGTCTGGAATGCGAGCCCTCACTTCCTCTTAAGCCCTGTGATACACTCAGACATTGTGCCTTTGCCCCATTCCAGAAGTCCTGTTTGCAAATATACTCATGTAAAGGCATCCTGACTTTCTTTGATTTTTATATTAACCCATCTTTATTTCTCTGTCCCAACCCCACTTCTTTGGCCTGAGTGCTAAAGGCTAAATCTCTTGAAGACTTTGGGTTGAATGCAGGGGCCTCGTTTTCTCACACAAAGTCATCTGTTTGCGTGGTCTTTAATTAATTTGTTCAACCAGGAGAATTAATCTCTGGGTTAGTACACAGTTGACTTCCCATCAGAATTCCAAGAAGGAGAATTTCATGAGACCCAACTCTTAGAGGCTTAGAGTTCCTCGCCATCACGGGAGCCAGAGGTGGCGTAGATGAAGGCTTCCCCAAGAATTATTAAGGCACACTGGAATCACTGTACCCGTCTAAATGAGGGTCATACAAAATGGGGTGCTTTTGGTCACCAATACAGTGTCTCCCAAGCACTTTGGCAGAGGATTGGGGAGATATAGAATAAGAAACACTGTATTGGTCATTTTGACAATTGACTGTCCGCCACCTAGCACACAGTAGACACTCAATAAATAACTGATGAGTAAAACTGATGAATGACAATTTTTTGATTCTCTGAATACTGCTGCCTATAAGTAAGAGGGAGGTTTGGGGAGTAGAGGCAAATAGGTAAATCCAAATTCATATCACTTCTATCTTTTTGTGGCTTATTGGAGAATGACAGATCCCTTCCCGTGCTCCCTGGGGGGCCCCATGGGTCCGTCCTGACCTGCTGTGGGGCCACATCTTGTAGCAGGCTCCCCAGCGCTCATGCTCTCCACCTTTTTACCATTCCTCCTACCTGGGGGTCCACGCAGGCCTTTCCCTCTGTCCTTTTCCTCTGGGAGCTCTCCGCTTCCTTCGTCTCTTTGCTGGCCTCACTCTTCATGGAAGCCTGCCCTAATCCTCCCGGCAAAGAAGGCTCCCCTGTTACATTTGCCTTGACAGTGATCCCATGAGGGCCAGGCTGGGACAGATAGGCCTGGCGTGTAATAGCTGGTCAATAAATAGCTGGGGAATGACCAAAGGAAGGGGTGAATGCATGAGCTATGGGAGGGGGGAAACTGAGATCAGGGATTTTCTTCACCTGGGGTCTTTGGGGTGGAGCCCCCAAATCCACAAGCCCCTGAAGCTGTCTGCCACAGTGTGTGCCTCGTTTCTAAGGGGAGCACCCATAGCTTTTGACAGACCAAACAATCTTGGGGGCCAAGGGCAGGCTGCCCCACGATGGGCACTTCAGCAGGAAGATTATTTTGAGTTAAAAAGCAGATGAAACCCAGCAGATTCAGGAACAGCTCTTGAAACCCAGGAGATTCAGGAACACCTCTCCCACAACTGCCTAAAAACATATAGGTAGAGAATCCAGGATGAGAACCACCACCCTCTAGAACGACATTACGGTATGAATGAGAGAATGAGATACAGTAGGCAGGGAGGAGCGTTGAAAGGCCTTTTTGATCCAAGTCTTCCATGTCCCTTTGTTTCCAAGTGTCCCAGGACACATTCGTTTACCAAACTACATTTGACAACAGCCCTCCAGGGCCTTTACTGAGTAGTGTGGGGGGGTCCGTGGCATTGGGGGAGACCGTTTCAGTACTGCTTAAAAAACTCAGTAGAACCCTGTTTTTGCCCATCAGATTTAAGATGTACCCGATTTATCTCAAGCCTCGAGTTGCATAATCATTTAGTGCAGAACTTGGATGGCACACGGCTTCATCTTGGGGATGCCTGGGAACATGCTGGGAAGCAGTGTGAGGCTACTGCGGCATTTAGGGGCCGGGTGGGTTGGGGGGGGGAGCATCGGGATGGATTGGTAATGTCTGCCTGGGAGAAGGCGCAGGCAGACACTTGCAGACCGTCAGGCACTTATTATCCTTGAGAGACTTGGGTAGAGATGCCGGCCTGTCTTTCTGGCCTGAGGAATGTCCCCCTCAGCCTTGCTGCTAGAAGTGGGGAGCAACAGCAGCTCCACACAGAAGCTTATTAGAAATGCAGGATCCCAGGCCCCATGACCACCCCCCACCCCCAACCCTGCTCAATCAGATTCTGCATTTTCACAAGATCCCCAGGGGATTTGTATGCACATGACAGTCTGAGACACAGGGGGCGACACAGCCTTCCTGCTGGCTTCTCACAGCTGGAGCCAGCCCCACTGGCCAGGCCTCCCTTGCTGGTCACCACACACTGGTTTTCTACAGCACATCAACAGGAACAGGACTGGCTCCCCGGGCTCATCGGGGCCATTCCCTTCGCCCCTCTCTCTGGGAGGTTTAATAATAAAGCTCTTCTTATCTTACTGTCTTACTATGCTTACTTCTTGTCTTACTATCACATCGTTTCTGTCCCTAGGCGATCTATAAGATGGTTTCCTCTGTAATGAAAATGCCTGAAGATGAGTCAACCCCAGAGAAAAGGACAGAAAAGATCTTCCGCCAGATGGACACCAACAGAGATGGTAGGAGGCTGTGGGGGCTTGGCTTCTCTCAGAGTGGGGACTGCGGGTGGGGCTGGGGCCACTCAGGCAGGCAGATGCCACTAAGGGACAAGATACTAGCCGCAAGGACCTGGCTCACAGGTCTTTTTGTGAAAGGAGCTCATCCCACATGCTCCTTGGAGGTGCAAGACAGAGAGGGACCAAGGTGGGTACAGGCGGAGACCACAGCAGGCTGGAGCCGGGCAGGTCAGCTCAGCGGAAAGCAGAGAGGGACTGGGTGTGACTCCTCTCAGACCCTGGCGGCTTTCACCCCAGCCTGCCCAGGTCGTGCGCTTGGGCTCTTCTGCGCATGCCTGGAGGTGTTGGGTTTCCGGGAGCCCCGTGGTCTTCCCCAGCCAGTGTCGGCCAGGAGAGGAGGGGATTGAAGTGGCCAGCACTTTCTGCCCGGAGGGTGCCCCCTACAGTTCAAAACCAAGGAGGGGATTCCAAACAATCCGAAGTGAAAAGGGAGGCTGGATTTCAAACTCAAGAATAGTGGACCTTAGGGGCGCCTGGGTGGCTCAGCGGGTTAAAGCCTCTGCCTTCAGCTCAGGTCATGATCCTGGGGTCCTGGGATCGAGCCCCGCATGGGCCTTTCTGCTCAGCAGGGAGCCTGCTACCTCCTATCTCTCTTTCTGCTTCTCTGCCTACTTGTGATCTCTGTCTGTCAAATAAATAAATAAAATCTTTCTTTTTTAAAGATTTTATTTATTTATTTCACAGAGAGAGATCACAAGCAGGCAGAGAGGCAGGCAGAGAGAGAGATAGAGGAGGAAGCAGGTTCTCCGCTGAGCAGAGAGCCCGATGTGGGACTCGATCCCAGGACCCTGAGATCACGACCTGAGCCGAAGGCAGAGGCTTAACCCACTGAGCCACCCAGGCGCCCCGAAATAAATAAAATCTTAAAAAAAAAAAAAAAAAAAGAATAGTGGACCTTAGATGTTGGGATGCAGATGGAATATAGGAGGCCCAATCAACTTTGAATTTTGGATGAAGAACAAATGTTCTTTAGAGAAATATTCTCTATGCAATATTTGTGACACACTTAAATGAAACAAAAAATTATTTATTTGAAGTTCAGTGTTAACTGGGGCCAAGGGAGCAAGTCCCCTCTGGGAGCTCCTATCTAGAGCTGCCCCAGCAGCTTCCCCTGAGAATGGGACCTTCTGGAAGCACCAGGAAAGGGGAAGAAGCTTTGCCTTCCCCAACTATATGACAAAAGGACCTTCCAGAAGGGAGACCCATACATATCCCAGCTTAGTCAACAAGGAAAGGGATCCACGGATAAAAGTGGGATCCCAGAGGGCCAAGTCTGTGTCCTCCAGCCTGCTCGGATTGACCTGAGGGCTCCCCTCAGCCTCGTTACTTTCTTACTTTGGAGGGAGGGGCAGCCTCCTCACATGTTGTCGAAAAGAAAGGGCCCTCCCCGCAGATATCTGTGTGGGCTCTTCTGCTCCCATGGAGGGAGAGGGACTCTTGCTGCAAAGCTAAGGCTACCGCAAAGAGGCCAGAAGGCTCCTGGGAAACCCCATGACGGCTGTGGTGCCTTAGGAGTGCAGCCTGCTCTCTTAAAAAGGCAAAGGTCAGCTATCTGTTGCACAAACACCGAGTGAGAACCGCCCGCCCCCTCCTGGGAACCTGTCCTGTGTGGCCATCTGACCCCTGTGAGCAGGGGCTCCCAGAAGCAGCATGCTGTCTTGGGGGCCGCTGTCCTAGGTGCTGGCTGGGCCCAGGCTCTCATGGTGGTGGTGTGGGGGAGCAGGAGGGAAGGGAAAAGGTGAGTGGTTGCTGCCACCTAGACGTGGTGGGACCTTACATCCGTGTAGCTGCCACCAGCCCCCGGCTCACCTGTCCTCTTGCTTTCTAGGAAAACTGTCCCTGGAGGAGTTCATCCGTGGGGCCAAGAGCGACCCATCCATAGTGCGCCTCCTGCAGTGCGACCCCAGCAGCGCCGGCCAGTTCTGAGCTCCGCACCCCACGGATTGTAGAGCTGCTGCTTGTGTTTGTTCCCTTTCACCTTTCTTTTTAACAAAACTTTTTTTTTTTTTTTTTTTTTTTTTTTTTTTGCCAAACAATATTGATGGTGATGCTGTCCCCCGTGCGGTCAGACGCACCTTCCTCCGTGCCGCCTTCAGCTTCCTCTGTTGTGGGAATGCCCAGAGCCCCAACGTGCTTGTGGAGAGCATGGACGTGCCGTCGTGCACGGACTGTGTGCTGTTCGTCGTTCTATGATGTCTCATCATTCCTATTGTTATTTTTCTTCTGATTCCAATGTTTCTGTTCTCAGAACGAAGACTCGGGGAGGCCAGAGAGGGCCAAGCAATCCAGTCCCGGGATTCTATGGCCAGCTCCCAGGGGCTTGTTTGAAAAACAAAACTCCCCACCTGGGTCTGGAGCCACTCATGCCCTCTGGGTGGTGGCACCCAGGTTGCCCAGGACAGGGGACCCCCTGGGGCCGGGCTCTGAGAGGGGCCTGGAGGCCTCCACTCCACCCTCTTCCCCAGCAGGCTGTAGTGTCTAAGCTGTGAACATTTCAAGGTAAATTCATAGAGAAGAGGAAAAAAGATGGCTCAGCTGTTTCTTCACATGGTTTACACTAGTTGAGCTAAGATGAGTTTCTTTGGAAATTAAACACAAATGGTAACTTACCTACAAAAACCAGACCCATCTTGTTGCCTATTGTGATTAAAAAAAAAAAAAAAAAGACTGCTGTATATAAAATATTGGGTATTGCAGACCAAATTAAGTGTTTTGCCTTGTTTAAATGAAATGCATGTTTAGTGAGCACTAATACAATCTTATTACAGAAGACTGTTTTTAGTAGCTTAATGTGAAGTAAGCCAACTATAATGAATGTCTGTGTCTTGTTTTAAGGTCATATCTGTCTTTGCACAAATGCACCAGTCAACAGGTATATTTTATATATTCCAGAGAAGAACAAAGTCACCATGACTAGGGCCCAACCTTAATTTTGAGTGCATTTCCAGAGTGGTAGTGTCTACAGGATAGAAGTAGGGCACGGTTAAGTGGGACATGTCCATTGGGCATCAGAAGGTTCGTCTTTACAAGAGATGTGAAGTCACCGTTAGCCCACTCAGCCCAGCAGCTCAATGGGAGTAGACTGGAAGTCCGGTGTTTTTCTGAGTAGATCAATATGCTGTCGACCCAACAAAAAAAAAAAACACAAATTCTTGGAACTTCCCAATGGTTTAATCCACATGATGAGTAAGGAGCTGTATCTGCAGTGTTGACCTTTCCATGCCCCCCGGGCCCTTCAGAGGGTTCAAGGTTGGGCAGTGAGCTGACTCTTCGTGAAGAAGGCATGGCCCAGAGTATCTGTGCTTTCCAGGGCCCATGGTGGGGAATCCAAAAGTATTTCCCATCACCATGTTCTCTGAATGCCAAATTCTGTTTCCAGAAGGGATAGCGCAAATTTGAGTCACTCTTTGGCTGGTGACCTCACATACACTAATTGGAATTGAAAGTTAAGAGTACAAATTGCTGATCACAAGTCAGTCAGTCTTAGTTTCACAAGCAGTAGGCCTGGGGAAGTCCAAGCACTCAAGGACCTAGATGGGGAGGACCTGCCCAGGGAGGAGGCAGAGAGATCCCTAGTGGGTTTATCTGCAGCCAAGCTACACCCTGTAGACCACGACCCCCAGAAAGACAAACATAACTATGAAGAAGATGACGCTGAGCCCATTCCAACTCCAGACTCTTCTTTATTACTTGAGTCCCTTTTAAGTGGTAGCAAAAATCTGAATTTCCATGGTTGACCAAAATGAACCAACTTGCCAGGATGAAATTTGGAGACCTAAACATGGTAAAATCGTCTTCCTCTTCCTCTGAGTGTCCGTTCCTCACAACAGGTCTGTCCTGAGACTTGCCAAATTCCTCCATGGGCCGAGTGGTAAGATCTGGGTTTGAAAACCAGGGAATTAAACTAAGAGGTGGAGGGCACAGTGAGTGAGGGGCCCAGCAGAGGTGCTGGCCATGGTCAGTGGTACATCCCATTGCCTCCCACCACTGCTCTGGACTGAAGACCTAATTCCCCCTTCCAGTTCCCCTTAGAAGGGGAGTCAGTTAATGTTTGGGCAAGCCTGCCCAAGCTCTACCCTTGGTCAGGACATCTTGTTGAGCCAGACTCACACAGTTCCCTAGAACTGAGAGCTAGATTGAGGAGCAAGGAAGAGGGGCTCCAGCTGTTGAGGAGAGAAGACAGAGCCAGACCCATGGCTAATGAATGCCGACGCGCCTGGGACGTACACAAATAGTCTTGTCCTGGCCGATCGCTGACCCTGTCTGTATTTTCTCGATGGTTATTTTTTTCCTTCTACTCCTTCCCAGGAAGGGCTTTGCATGTCTAATCCAATGCACTTAAATTTGGCCAAGGGACTCTGCAGCACCCAGAAGGCTGAATGACTAAAGGTTTAGGTCATTCCTTTGCCGGGCTGTTCATTGTCATTGCTGTGGTGCGGGACCTCTGGAAACGGAGTCTGTTCTGTCTGAAATCAAGCCAGTCTGTGATGTTCAAGGGACTGGAATAAAGTGGCTTATGACTTGAAGGACGATACAGAGTGGCCGAGTGTTCATACCCTTGCTTAGGGTGGGGGAGGGGTGCTAAGGGTGCTGTTGCAGCTCTTCTGTTGTCCCAGGGGACCCCTTCTACAAATGGATTTAATAAGATACAGATAAACCTTGAACAATGAGAGGGTTTGGTGTGCAGACCCCCTGTGCAGTCAAAAATCCACATATAACTTTTGATTCCCCAGAATTTAACTAACTACCAGCAACTTGGCATTCAAGCACATTGATTGTGCCGTGTGGGTGTCTGGGACCTTTGGGTTTGCTGCTTAAACTGCTGCCCCGGGGGGAGTCTACCTGAGTGAGGGTCCAGGTGCCTACACACCCCCCACCCCTGCTCAGGTGTGGCTTCTGCCCTAGAGACACGGGAGCCAGGGTTTGGGAGGGGAGCCCAGAGGCGGTGCTGAGCCCAAAGCCCTGTCCCAAAGCATCCTTGGGCTTCCTTCCTCTCTTCTTCCTGCGCCTGGGCTTCCTTCTCTCCACTCACATCCTTGTCGGCCTTCACTTTCTTCTCACCTCCCCTCCTTCCTCACAACTGCAGCTGCAAACTCTGGTGCGAACATTGGGTGCAATGGAAGGCAACTTCCTCTTCAGGGACAAATGAACATCCACTTCTCCCGTCTCACCCTCTCGGTCTGGAGAAGCAAGATGACATGATGCAGACTCCACAGCCTCAAAGCACATTCAGATGAGGGTTGCTTTTTGGGTTTTTTTTTTTTTTTTTTGGTCGTTGTCTTGGCCTCACCTACAGCACGGAATTCCATCAATCCAGGAAAAAGGCACTGAAGTTCAGCCACGGTAGGTGACTTGTGGGCTGACCAGACCTCCTGTAGGAATTAAGTTGGCCTGCAGGGGATCTGGCCTTGCTTCAGTCTGTCCCTGTGGTCCAGCAATGGATACTCATGAGTACTGAACGTGAACAACACCCCTGTCGTTCCTGGCACCGACGGTGAGGTGGCTAGCCAACCTGATCGGGAGCCTGCACTCCCGCACCTGTTGGAGGTCAACCTGGCAATTTCCAGCAAATTGCCAAGACCGAGACTCCTATTTTCAGGGGATTGTCCTAATACCCAACCCAGCTGGATCCCCTCACAGCCTAGTTGAGGAATGGAGGGGGCCCACTGGTTGAGGAGGAATTCTGAGTGTTCCCCTAAGTTGAGGCAGAGAGATCACGAGAACTATCTTTGGAAGAAATGGAGATGCTTCACACATGCCTCTCTTGGCCCGGCACTCTGTTGAAATTTGTTTTGAGGTGGCTGAAGAAACAAGAGAAAGAACACTGAGACCTGTATTTTCTGAGGCAGTAGTAAATCAGCTAAATCCACCTAAAATAGAATGGTGGTTGCATAGTGAAAAGATGTTCCGGCCAAGGGTATAACCGACAGTATATTCATGTCAAACAGGTTTCTCTACACTTGAATGCTGACCGTGACTTAGATAGGTCCTGGACTTTGCCATACCCGGTGCTAATGTGCCATGCATGGTCCCAGACATTCCTGGGCTTAAAAAAAAAATGGCCATTTGGAGAACATTCCATAGTGTGGAGCTAACCCCCTAGGGCAGCTCAGAGTGGAGAAGGGCCTTAGAGAGGCTTATTTCATGACTTCTCTTCTCAGCACTATTCCAAGAAATAGATGGCATTTTTAAGAGTTCTCTAGAAGGCATGGTCAAAATACTTCAAAATTCTGGACAGCTCAGCCTGTCAACCCTTACTAAATCTCACAGATGCTACCAGTGTATCCTACAATGAAGACAGACAGACAGACAGACTCAGAAAACGTATCTTTCCAGTACCAGTATTTAACCACTTTACTGTGCTCACACTGAGCACTCAATAGTGACCCAGCACCATACCACGTGCTGTAGTCTTGGCCGTTGTGTGTATGTTGGGGTGGGGGGGTAGAAGTTATTACCAAAGAAGTAGGAGACCAAGCTAACAGTTCAACTGGTAAGTTTTGTCCAGCACCTTGAATACATTCACACAGTAATATACATCTATGTCTACAGCAGAAATCAAGTTTTTTCCTGAGTGCGGCATGAGAGGTATTTGCTAGGCAGGAAGCAAGCTGGCAATGTTTGTCTTCAGTGCCCTTTCAACATCTCTTCTCTTTTGCTACTTCTGGCTGCTCAGAGTTTCCCCCATTGTGTTTCCTAGAATTCCAGAGTCTCCAAAATTAACCCACGCACCCCTTTAGCAGAGAACAGAAAAGTGTAGGGAAGAAGGACCTTAAGGACAAAAGGTTTAACAGCCTAAGGTGGTAGACCAGAAAACCCATTCAGGGAACGTTGACTTGTGAGAATAGACCCCAGTGAATTTCAACTGGAGACCTTTTAGAAGGGGTCGGCTGTGGGCACTAAAGGGAACTGTTCAGATCTTCCCTTTTGAGACCCCTGCTGCTAGAAGCACAGCTGGCTGATTGACAGACT